GCAATTAACTTATTTTCTGCTCTTATGAATGAATCCAGGGGCTTGGAGAGCGGCAACGCCCAAGGATCTAAAGGGCATGGTTTTTCTAGCTTTAATTTGGGACAAGTCCCCCAGCAGTGGATAAATGTCACTATGTCTCTGCAACCCTTCCAACAGAGGTTGGAGGGTGTTCATTGCATGGTAGTAAGGCGTTGGGGTGTTAAATACCAGCGGAATAACATTTTGTACTTTATGCGTCACACAAATGGATATGGAGGCTGTGGCTTCCCATATGTCCAACCAGATTGAGGGCTCGTCTGGAGGGCCTAAGTCTGAGTCCCATGCTGTTAGATAGGGGAGTGTTATTTGTGTTCTATGGGTCATTATTGTATTGTACAGGTCTGAGATTTGTCTATTTCTACAGTGGTGCTCCATGCAGTCAAATTTAAACTGTGTCAGAGGGGCAGTATCCGCTAGTTGGATAATGGGTGTGGAGGCGAGACTTCAAAGCTGCATGGACATGAAATAATCAAACGTTGTGAAGGTTGACTTGTCAGGGATATCCTTATATTGTATGATTTTGTTGTTGTGATAGAGGTGGCCCAATCTTGAGATATCTTTGCTCTTAAAGTGGGCATAATAAATTGGCGTGAAGTCAGATGGATAGAGCTTGTTCCTCCAAATAAGGGTCAAATCTATCTCTCATTCTGTCCCATAGGTCCAGCGAATAAGTGATCATGGGGGGCAAGAGCCGGTGTGGTCTGGTGAGCAACATATACAGGGATCCCATCCGAACATCATGTGTTCCAGATCCACCCATCTGGGTCGTAGGTGCCATTGTTGGATTTGGGCTAGGTGTGTTGCTGATAGGTAATGCGAGACATTGGGTAGGCCTAGACCCCCAGACTGTTTGGGGACATAAAGTGTTGTCTTTCGTACTCAGGGATAGCATCCGTTCCAGACGAAGGTGTCCACTGCTGCTTGGAGTACTTTGAGGTCTGCTTTGTGAAATGGTATAGGTAGGGTCTAGGTAGGAGGTTCATTTTGATCGAGGTGACATGCCCCAGCCAGGAACTCTACTTCTTCTAGCCAGGATATCCCCAGAGTCTTCCATTTTTTTAGATCCTCGTGTGCTTTTCACAAGAGGCTGATTCTAGATGTGTTTTGTCCATGTTGACTGGTAATAATTCTGATTTTCTTAGGTTTCATTTGTACCCGGAGATTGAAGTGTAAACCTGGATGAGGGACACGTGGCTGCTATTGATTTTTCAGGGTTTGTAAGTGTCAGGGAGAAATTGTCTGCATATGCCAAGACTTTAAATATTTCATTACAGACTTTTATTCCCTCCACCTCCTGGCTAGAGCGCATCACCTGTAGTAGGGCCTCTAGCGAGATGGCAAAGAGAAGGGGAGAGAGAAGGCAGCCCTGCCGTGTACCATTCAAAATCTGGAACCGTGGATGAGTTATGTTGGGGATGAGGAGTGCTCCCTGTAGGTTGTGGTAAATAGCTTAGATAAAGGAGAGAAATTCTGTCAGGAAGCCGTATTGTGAGAGGATTTGGTAAAGAAAGGGCCATAAGAGGCGGTCAAATACCTTCTCAGCGTCTAGAAACATGGCTACCATTGGAATTTTCCTGTGTTGTGCTATCCAAATCAGGTCTATGCTTCAACAGGTATTATCTGATGCTTGCCTGTTGGGAATGAATGCGACCTGATCCAGATGTATTATGGACTTTAGAAACGGGTTGAGTCTATTTGACATGATTTTGATTAGCAGTTTTAGATCGACATTTAAGAGAGAAATAGGCAGATAGTATTCCGGTTCTGAGTGGTCTGTTTTTGGGAGGAGGCATATGTGTGCTGTGACTTTATCCTCAGGCAGCAGTTATCCTTTCAAAAGGGCATTAAATACTTGAATGAGCTGTTTTTGGGAAAATTTGGCTAAATTCTTTGTAATATAAGACTGTGAACCCATCCGGGCCAGAGCTCTTATTGTTTAAAGGCTGCAAGGGCAGTAGCCATTTCTTCCATAGTGACTTCTGCTGCAAACACTTTTTTGGCTGCCGGGAGGAGTGGGAAGCCCTTGATTATCTAAGAAGGTAGTAATAGACGAGCATGTTACGGATTTGTCTAGGTGTGATTGTGGAGAATGGTTGTACAGGGCCGTAAAATATCTCTGGAACGCATCTCCTATGCGGTCCGGAATATAGTTTGTCCTTCCGGAGTGCATATCTTAGAGATCCATTTAGATTCTAATCTTCGTGAGTCGGTGTACTAACATAGAGACCACTTTATTTCCTTTTTCGTAGTATTTTTGTCTTAGTTACATTAGGGTTTTAGAAGTTTCGGACTGGGTTATCTGTTTTAGTAAGTCCCTAATCGTGTTTAGTTGGTTTAATGTGTTCGGGTGAGGGTCTTTTTTGTGACTTGTTTCAAGGCCACACAGTTCTGTCATAGATTCTGTGAGCTGTTGTTGTCTTTGATGTTTTTTAGCTAGGCTGATTAAATCAGTGTCAAACAAACACTCAAGTGTCATAAAAAGAGTAAAGAAATTTATACAAATGCATGTAAAATTCTTGATTCTACAATAAAAGCAGAAAAAATAACATAGTATATACTGTATATAATCACGCAAAATTTGACTCACATGGTCCAGAGCCGTGCCAGGCTCTGTCTTAGAGGCTTAGGGGTGCCAAATATGGCTACTGGATCCAGGATGGTATGGAGTTACACAAAAATACATGATTTATTTGTACAAATATTTAATAGTTAAAAAAAAAAAATATATATATATATATTAAACAAATAGGTACTATAAAATAGATGGTAATGGGCATATCTATAAAACAAATACATCAAATGAAGCCCTTGCCACCATTTAGTAACCATAAATAAAAAAATAAATAAACACAGTTGTAAAAGTAGAACAGTATAAGTTTCGCCTATAAAGAAAAAGTGCTGAAATACTGTTCACCTCATGGTGTTTATATACCTTCCTAATAATACAATTATCAGGTACACATGTTAACAATCTTCGGCAACTCTTGATGATGTCATTTCCGGCTCCCCACAGTGATGTAACTGGGCCAATATGTCACATACTCTATCGAGATAAAAAATACATATATTACTACAATTGCAAAGGGAAATAAAACTAGCATCTTAACCAAGTGCACATATCAGTGGAAATAATTAGAATCCACAGAACACACTCTAAAAAAAAATAAAAAAAAAATATCTAAAATATATATATTTAAAAAAAAATATCTAAACAAATAATGACTTTATAACCTTTTCTTTTTTTTCTAAAATATAAAGAACATGCACATACATATACACACACATAATATCCAGAAATGAATGGCTGCTCTCCGGTCTTAAAAAAAAATGAAAATGTATTTAATCAAGTTTAAAAATAGTGACCCTGAAGAAAGTCCCAAACGGGGACTGAAACGTTGGTCACTATTTTTAAACTTGGTTAAATACATTTTCATTTTTTTTAAGACCGGAGAGCAGCCATTCATTTCTGGATATTGTGTCATTTGGAGCTCTGGTTTATGCGCCTGCAGTTAAGCGGTTAAAAGCGTGAGTGCAGGGAATTTTTGCCATATATATATATATATATATGTATATATATATATACACATACATACATACATACACACACACACACGTATATATATATATATATATATATATATTCTATTATTCTATTAAAGCATGTATAGTTAAACAATACAATTTATAAAAAAAATTGCAAATTCGAAATCTAAATTAAATATCCACTTAAGCCAATTCCTTAACATTATCCTGTCCCCTCTGATTTATTATTTTTTTTTTATTACCATATAAAATTACCATATACGATAAAAAAAGAGGGGTCACTAGCATGTGATATAGATCCAATTTGATCTTTGTTATATTCGGGGGAACCCAAATTGTTTTCAAGTGCACTTGGAGAAGCGTGAATTAGATACCAGACTCGTGTTGGTTATCAAACTAATCCTTAGACCTTTATTTTGTCAGTTGTGTTTTTATACATTAAAAAGTAAGTGCTTACGTGAAAATACTCATAGAACAGTAGTAGGAAGAGAGTGAAAGGGTGAAGGGAGCACAGATAAGACATAGTGATGAACGTCATGTACATATAATAGATAAGTTCCGGGAAAGAGAATGAACAGACTGATTTAGGAGAGACAGCTCAGGTGGCTTCGTATTTGCATGACAGGAGGCTTCGTATTTGCTGTTTTAACGCTCAGCCAACAAATCCAACGCTGTTTGTTTCACTGGTACCTATTCCGTGAGATATTAGAGCAATCCTAAATGGACCTTCCAACTGCGAGAAGTGACCCTAGACGGATCGATGAAGATGCCAGCTGACAAAGCATCCCAAATATGGAAAAACACCATCTGCTGATAGATCCATTGTACGTGGGGTTGCGACCTGTTTCCTAGCAGCCGGTCCATGAGCTGCCAAGCTGACCTATTAGCCATTTTCCTGTAGGTGTAAAATGCTGAAGATCATTTGCGGACTTAGGGCCGCAAGAAGAAACTGCCACCATGTCTCAACTCTTGATGTGGAAGCTGGCTCCTCCTATAGTGCCAGGGTCACCAGGCGATGTGGCCTTGCAGGCAAATCTCCAACCTCAAGGAACGCACCTAAGTCCACCAACAATTCCATAATAGAACCGAGTAGGGTCTTTTCGTTCCCTCATGACCTACCCGGTGAGAGAGTGAAATAATCTGATTACCCATTTGTACGATCCTGTTCCATGTCCAACCTGTCAAAATTCGTGTAGGGGTTCCTGGTCTACACGCCACCTACGAGATAGGGTATAATATAGTGAGACCCCTAGGTCCCTGTACCCCTGACTGTCCGGGCACGTAACCCCCAGAGTAGGCCCTAGGTCAAGTGACCCAGGAATGTGAATTTGAGAACCGAAGTCAAGGACTCCCTATAGAGGGATACCTCCCTTCTTAGCTTGGAGTCCCGCGAACACATAGCGTTCTCTAATACGCAGACAAGATGTAAAGTCCCTTCACTCACGACAGGTGACTCCAGAGAGCAGATATAACAAAAAAACAAGGGCATAGCTTCAACCATCCGAAGGAGGTGGTCCCGTTTGAGAACGTCGGCAGCCATATCCGAGCCTGCTACACATCCTGAGAAGTACTCCAGTGGTAGGTTGCATACCAAATTGTGATGTCGGTGTAGGAGCCGGGGACACACAGGGTTCCTCCATAGAGTCCACAGTAGGTCTCCTTGATGGTAGTTGAATAGGTGGGTTAGCGAGAACCCAAACCAAGACGGTTCCCGTGAGGGATATCGAGTATAGAAGGAGGGCCCTCCATATCCGAACCCTGTTCTCCAGATATGTGGTCAGAGGAGTAGGGGCAGTCCTGTCATCTCATCCCAAGATTGTAATGACCAGAGAACCCAAGTCAACCGAGTATTCCGGTCTTTTCATGTGATCCATGCGCACGGTGTATCTGCAGACCGGGTTGTGGGCCTTCCCTAGTCTTGTTACCCAAGCAAGGCAGTGCCCGTTTGCTCTATGAAGGTCTCAGGATCTCATGTCACCTTGAAATGGGAAAAACTGTCTGCGCAGTTTGTTCGCAATGGTCTGAATAACTTAAACAGAGTGCAATTGCCTGTTTGATATAGCACAGATTATACCAAAACCTGCACTCTTGGAACAACTGGGGCTCATCAGTTAGCTGTACCGTCTCCAGGAGTGTGTGTAAATAAGCGGGGAATCTCCCCCAGTAATACCTCTGTGAGTATTTCTCACGTGGGATACCGTGGTCCGGATCCAGTAGATCCATTATAGGAGGTGAAATAGATGGATCCAGTCTAAACATGTATACCCTGCACGATCAGGTAGCCCTCTATATGAAATCGGTAGCACGGTCGTTAGATCTAATTGAATGCAGGAGGGACGCCCTTCTATGCAGTCATCGTTGTCCTGTACATGTACAAGCCTGTGTGATGAACAAATGGGCGACACCGTAGTGCGTTGAGTGTATGAGAGAGCCGCACTCTCTAATAATGTGACCAGACTCCATGTCAGCGTCCGGCAGATAGCATGAGTGGACCGCACCCGTTAATAACCAAACATTAGAGTCTACATCCGTGTCCAGTTCCCTCTATGAGGATGTGTCACTCAAGACATATCCTCTGTATCCAGCTCAGTAACGGGTTGAGGTTGAGGGAGGGCCACGCCCTTTAATAATGAATCAGTGTCCGGTTCAGTCTTTGAGAGGGGTTTACTCTCTACTCGTGAAAATAAAAAAATCAGTCTCAGGCCGAGGCGATGGAGGGCCGCACCCTCTTGTAATCCAAACCAGAGTCCATTAGAGACTCAGGGTGACCAACTGCGGGGTACCATTTACTAATATCAGCATAATACTGAGATCCTGATGTGGGTCTATCTCTGACCACGAGACCTCTCTCTGAGTCTCACTTGAGAGATGGAATCAACTGGTAATAAACCAGACCGATGGTAGATGGAATAGTATACAACCTTAGGCCATGTCCTTGCTTAATATCAGAAAGCGATGATGAGAAAATGCAACCTTCGGAAACCATGATGGAAACTACCAACGGACTGCCCAGATCCAACGCACGAGCGCGGGATATAGGATGACCATCGGTAGCCTGAGGAAAGCTGGAGACGTTCTCCGCGATCCTCAAGAGCCCGGGAGATCAGAGGAGCGATGGGACAATAGGAAGGCATGAAAACAAAGAAACGACAAAAAATGTAGATAAAGGGAAATACGTACCTCGGAGAGAAGGTAAATAGCAGATCGGAAAAGCAAGTCAAATATACCCAACTGAAAGGGTCAGGAGCTAAAAGGTTAGTTGCTGAAGGCAAGGAAACCGTGCTCCCCTGTTGGCGTCTGAGCACTGGTCCCTGCTTGTGTGAGTTTCCCCTTGGAGATGTGCCGCCGCCAGGCTGGTGTAAATCGTGGTTGCGTGCCTGGGAATCTTCATAAAAGCTTTGCCCCTCAGGGCATGAGCTGTAGGGCCTTCATCCTTCCAATCATATTTAGGTGCCCGTATCCTGTGTCCTCTTGGATAGTATGGCAGCAGTGCTTGCCTGGACACCCACCTATTTCCATGTCAGTAGTGGGTACTGAGTTTTCCTCAGTGATATTCCCCCAGGCCTGCAGCCAAAAGGGGGTTCGGGCACAGATAGATCAGGCCAACGATGGGCACAGGTAGAGCAGGGCACAGACATAGTAGGCCAATCAATGGGGCAGAGACATAGCCGGCCAATCAATGGGGCAGAGACATAGCCGGCCAATCAATGGGGCACAGACATAGCAGGCCAATTAATGTGGCACAGGCAGAGCAGGCCAATCATAGGGGCACAGGCAGAGCAGGCCAATCATAGGGGCACAGACATAGCAGGCCAATACTGAGTTGCGTATTATATGAGTAATGGGGACGTCTGAGTCCCCTAAAAATCTGTAAATCCTCAGGGTATCCTGTGACCTAGGACCCCTAGACATCAACCCTTTTAGACTGCGTAATATTGTGTGAATAAACCTTAACCGGGACTCATGGCCGGTGCAAGAATTTTTAGGTACACAGGCGGAGATGCATTTTGCCGCCCCATCACTCCCTTGATGTATATATACAGAGGCGCCACTTACAAAACACAAAGATTATTGCTTTGGTGCTTTTTGATTCTCAATCATGCAACACAATACTGTTAGCTGTATTGCTTTGGACTGGGTTTTCCTAATTTATCTTGATCCTGGGCATTACAATTCACAGTATTGTGTGTTGCGTATGAGTTAAACTCAGAGATCAACAACAAACAAAAAACAGAAATGTTTTTTTTGAGTGTATCACAAATCGGTAATGTGCATAGTAGATTATTACAGAGCTCCACACCTATAAAAATGAATGTGCATTTTGTATAACACGATCACAGAGCTCCACTATAATAAACGTCATAATAATGTGATTTAATGTGTGGTGGCTGTGTTTGGTCTGTGTGTGTGATATGTTTCATGTGCATGTGTTGGCTGTGTGTAGTGGGTGTTTAATTCATATAATAAAAAGATGTTTTACATCTACTCCTGTTTACTTTTTTGTATGGAGGGAGCTAAATTCCCTGGTGGCCCGGTAATAAAACACATCCTGTACTTAAAACTAGTGCACTGCAGACCCCTCCTTCTAGTCTGGTGCTTGTTATGAGTCAAAGTTCAGGCTAGGAATCCCTGTGTGAGTGCATTGACTCTATAACTGGGCACCAAAACCAAGAGACAGTAATTATAATAGTCAGTACCAGACACAGGTGCATACCATGTACTCCACCTACGGGTCACCAAGAATTCAATTTTTATTTATTATATTGTTGATATTGTTGATCTTGTAATGTAGTGAAGAAAAAAAAAGTTAAACAAAGGGAACAAAATGCTAGCGCAGGCATAGGCAACCTTCGGCACTGCAGATGTTTTGGACTACACCTCCCATGATGCTTTGCCAGCATTATGGGCGTAAGTAGTCAACAACATCTGGAGAGCCGAAGGTTGCCTAACCCTGTGCCAGAGAGCCGGGGCATTACAATGACATAAGGGAGATAGAGTAACAAAGGGTTGGGGGACAGAGAGTAACAGGGAATTATGGGGTAAAGTGATACAGGGCTAGGGGTGTAGAGTGACAAGGTGATAGCAGGATTGGGTATTAGGGGGACAGAGTGACACAGGACTAGGGGAGCAGGGTATTAGGGGGACAAATTAGCACAGGGCTATGAGGACAGGGGATCGGGGGACAGAGTGACACAGGGCTAGTGGGACAAAGTGATACATGTCTAGGTAAGCAGTGTATTAGGAGGACAAAGTGATACAGGGTTTATTGGGCAGGAGATTAGGTGAAAGAGTGACACAGGGCTAGGACACAGTGACCCATGGCTAAGGGCAGGGGGACAGTGACGGAGCTACGGAGGCAGGTGATTAGGGAGTCAAAGTGATTAGGGGAACAGAGTGACACAGGGCTGTGGGCAGGGGATTAGGGGGACAGTTACACAGAGCTAGGGGATAGGGGATTAGGGGGATAGTGACACAGGGCTACGGGGGCAGAGGATTATGGGGACAGAGTGACACAGTAATAGGGGGCAGGGATTATGGGGACAGTGACACAGTAATAGGGGGCAGAGGATTAGGGGGACAGTGACACAGGGCTGTGGGCAGGGGATTAGGGGGACAGAGTGACAGTAATCGGGGGCAGTGATTAGGGGGACAGAGTGACAGTAATCGGGGCAGTGATTAGGGGGACAGAGTGACAGTAATCGGGGGCAGAGATTAGGGGGACGGAGTGACACAGGGCGAGGGGGACAGAGAGACACAGGCCTGGGGAGGACGGGGGCAGAGTGACCCAGGGCCTGGGGGGGGCAGAGTGACCCAGGGCCTGGGGGGGGCAGAGTGACCCAGGGCCTGGGGGGGGCAGAGTGACCAGGGCCTGGGGCAGAGGACCCAGGCCTGGGGGCAGAGTGACCCAGGGCCTGGGGCAGAGTGACCCAGGGCCTGGGGGGGGAGGCAGAGTGACCCAGGGCCTGGGGAGGCAGAGTGACACAGAGCCTGGGAGGACAGAGTGACACAGGGCCATAGGGACAGTGACACAGGGCCATAGGGACAGTGACACAGGGCCTGGGGGACAGTGACACAGGGCCAGGGGGACAGTGACACAGGCCTAAGGGGCAGGGAGGCATAGTGACACAGGACTGGGAGGAGGGGATTAGTGGTACAGTGATACAGGGCTAGGGGTCAGGGGATTATTGGGACAGACTGTAACAGGGCTAAGGGATAATATGACAGGGAATTAAAGGCTCTAACCCCACTCTCTTTTGATAGCCATGTGTCACCTTTCCCCCTAATTCCTTGTCAGAGCTATAGGGGAACAAAGTGACACACAGCTAGAGGGATGGTGTAATGAGGGGGTTAATTTAAATATTTGAAATGCCGCTTTCCTTACCTGCACACTGGTGATGCTGCCAGGCCCATCAAATGCTCTGTGTGTGTCCTGTCCAGGTGCAGCAGTGACTCAAAGCAGGGAAAGCTGCACACTGGGCCTGAGCTCAGTTCAACTGAGAACGCCAGGGAGTTGGAATGCAGGGAGGAGGAAGTGCCCCGCCCATCAGTCTCCTCTGACACATCAGAGCAGAACTGGGAACCGGGCAGCAAATCAGGAGCACGAGTAGGAAATATTTTTAAAATGTGAGTCACAGGCAAAGAGCCAAGGATGCGGATTTTTGCGCCCCCCCTTGTGTTGCGCCCTAACACTTGGACGAGCCGGCCCTGCCGGTACTGGCAGTCCCTAAATGCCCAGCAGGCAAAATAGTGGTATTCCAGCTGTATTGGGTATAAGCTGAAGTTGTTCCAGTGTCCATAAAAATCAAGATATACTGAGCGATAAATTCTTTAAACTGTGAATTGGTATGCACATGTACATACAGATCTGTTTGAGATTCTTATCTTGTTATAGATCATCATCATCATCATCACACCACCTGAAGGGTAATGTACCAATGGTCTCTTTCAGGAGTAGGGTTAAACAATTGTCAACTCAATGAATCTCCCCATAGAACCTGATAAAATAGAATAGTGTCAGCATGGGCGTCCGCAGGAATTTTTCCAGGGGGGGGCATAATTGTAATGACATCCATGCTTGGCCCCTTGTTGACAGTGTCATGAAAGGGAAGGGGCATAGTCATTATCACATAAAGCCAGGGTGAATAGCGTTTTCACAACTATGGTGTCAAGAATATATGTTTGTATTCCTGACACTATAGTGTTCCTTTAAGCAAATTAAAGGATCATTCTGGTCACCATAACAACTTCACCTAAATGAAAATGCTATATGCCAGGAAGCCCCTGGGTGCTCGCTTTCCTTTAAGGGGTTAAATCGCTCTCAAATGGTTTAACCCTAAAGGCTTCCTCTGGCTCCAGGTCGCTCAGTGGTATTTGGCTTCTGAAACAGAGTGTCAGGAAGTACAGATTGACGTCAGGCATGGGTGCCGCTGATTGGCTAGAGTGTACAGTTGACGCTCTAAGCCAATCGCTAGTTTCCGGTTCATAAAATATTTTTACTTTTTTATGAATGGGGATCTACTGATTGGCTTAGAGTGCCAGCTGGCCGCTCTAGCCAGTCAGCGACACCCCTACCCAATGGCACTCTGTGCTTCCTGACACTCAGTAAATAAAAGTGAACACATTAATACTGATATTTTTTTACCTTTGGAGATGAGAAGGTCCAGCGTTTCCCTGCCTGGCCCAGGTACCCAGCCTTATGATGTGGTGTCCAGAATAAAGTGGAGTTCACTTCATTTGTCCTTCCTGCTCCAATCTCATTTTCCTCTCCTTCATTTGACAGTCTTTTTTTTTTTCTTCTGACACTGTTTTCTATCCTTGGCCCCTTCTGCTCTTTTACCTTTCTGCTACTTTCTGCTTATTTAGCGCCCTTCTGCTCCTTTTCTCATTCTGATCCCTTTCTGCACCCTTTTCTACTTTACCTTTGTGCTCCTTCTGATTCTTTCTGCTCCTTTACCTTTGTGCTCCTTCCTGCTCCTTGCAGGCCCTTCCTGCTCCTTCTCCTTTTTTACCTTAGTGCTCCTTCTGCCCCTTCCAGCTCATTTCTGACCCTTTCTGCTCCTTCTACTTTACCTTTGTGCTGCTTTACCTTCCAGCTCCTTGCTGACCCTTCCTGTTCATTTCTGTTCCTTTGTGCTCCTTCTCCTACTTTACCTTTTGTGCTCCTTGCTTTCCCAGCTCCTTGCTGCCCCTTTCTGCTCCTTGATGTCCCTTCCTGCTCATTTCTGTTCCTTCTCCTTTTCTTACTTTACCTTCCTGCTCCTTGCTGACTCTTCATGTAGGCTGTCTCCCCCATCCCTCACTTCCATAGCCATGCGCACGGGGTGTGTCGGGTATGCCTGGGCACACCCTAATCCCCGCGGCACGCCAATGGATTGAGACCGGCAGGGGAGATCTCTGGATCTCCCCGGTCGGCTCATGCAGAGCCGACGCTATCCAAGCTGCGGCTCTGGTCTAAGCCTCCATGGGCCGGTGGGGAGATCAAAGTTCTACCTCACCGGTCCACAGCAGCATGGAAGGAGGCAGCAGAGAACCCGGGCTAGAGTTCACTCTCCACTGAACCACCAGGGAAGACAGCAGGACTGGGATATTAACTAATCTCCCCCCACCTCCACCCAAACATACAGCACACACACACACAGCCCACAAACAGCACACACATACAACACCCTCGCACACACAGCACCCACACACACAACACCCACACACACCCAGCACACTAACAGCATCCTCACAAACACACAAAACCCACACAAACAGCACCCTGACAAACACACAACACCCAAACAGCACACTAACAGGACCAGAACAAACACGCACACACAAACACCCACACACACAGCACACTACCAGTTCCCTCACACACAGCACACAAACAGCACCCTCACAGACACACAGCAGTGTGTATATATATATATATATATATATATATAACAAAATTCAAAATATAAGGATCACTCACAGGTCTTCATCTGAATACTGATTTATTCTAAAGTGCAAATTACATGTGCAATCCGATTGCACATGTAATTTGCACTTTAGAATAAATCAGTATTCAGATGAAGACCTGTGAGTGCTCCTTATATTTTGAATTTTGTTATATGTTTAAACGCTGAGGATTGTACCCAGGCAGCAATATACACCCTAAATATGGGCTTTAGGGTGCACACCCTAATGCAGTAGGCTGCGCACGCCTATGCTCACTCCCCTAATCTATAGGCTGCTGCCCCCCCTCACTCCCCTAATCTATAGGATGCCCACCCCCTCACTCTCCTAATCTATAGGCTACTGCCCCCCCAGCCTCCCTCCCTTAATCTATAGGATGCGTCCCCTCACTCTCCTAATCTAAAGGCTGCTGCCCCCCCCAGCCTCACTCCCTAATCTCTAGGCTGCTGCCCCCCCTCACTCCCCTAATCTATAGGCTGCCCCCCTCCCCACCCATAGGATGCCCCTCAGATAGCTGCCCCCTCACTGCTGCCCCCCTCACTCCCCTCCTATAGGCTGCTGCCCCCCTCACTCCCCCCCTCACCACCCATAGGCTGCTGCCCCTCACTCCCCACCCATGGATGCCCCCTCACTCCCTCACTCTCCCACCCATAGCTGCTGCATAGGCTGCCCCCAGCCTCACTCTCATACCTATTGCTGCACTCCCTCCCCTCAGGATGCACCCCTCACTCCCACCTACAGGCTGCTGCCCCACTCCCCTAATCTATAGGACCTTACTCCCCTAGCCCAGGAGCCCCCCTCACTCCCCAATCTAGGCTGCTGCCCCTCACTCCCCTAATCTAGGATGTCCCCTCACTCCCCACCCTATAGGCTGCCCCCACCCTCACTCCCCCAATCTATAGGATTTCCCTCACCCTACCCTATAGGCTGCCCCCACCCTCACTCCCCTAATCAATAGGATGCCCCCCTCACTCCCTAATCTATAGGCTGCTGCCCCCCCCAAAAAAATCTATAGGCTATCTCAAACCCTCCCCCATCCCTCTCTTACCTGATCTCTCACATATGCCATGGACAGTGAATTCATACCAAAACAGTCTCATCTGAGACTCCATAGTTGGACCAGAATATGTATATACTGTGAAGCACATCAATCCTAGAGCTAACTAGCCAACTGGCTCTGTATAATTTACACTGTCAGCAAAACTCACAGCAATCTGTGATATACACTGTCAGCAAAACTCACAACAATCTGTGATATACACTGGCAGCAAAACTCACAGCAATCTGTGATATACACTGGCAGCAAAACTCACAGCAATCTGTGATATACCCTGGCAGCCAAACTCACAGCAATCTGTGATATACACCGTCAGCAAAACTCACATCAATCTGTTATATACACTGTCAGCAAAACTCACAGCAATCTGTGATATACACTGGCAGCAAAACTCACAGCAATCTGTAATATACACTGTCAGTAAAACTCACAGAAATCTGTGATATACCCTGGCAGCCAAATTCACAGCAATCTGTGATATACCCTGGCAGCCAAACTCACAGCAATCTGTGATATACACCGTCAGCAAAACTCACAGCAATCTGTGATATACACTGGCAGCAAAACTCATAGTAATCTGTGATATACACTGTCATAGAAACTCACAGTAATCTGTAATATACACTGTCAGTAAAACTCACAGAAATCTGTGATATACCCTGGCAGCCAAACTCACAGCAATCTGTGATATACACTGGCAGCCAAACTCACAGCAATCTGTGATATACACTGTCAGCAAAACTCACAGCAATCTGTGATATACACTGGCAGCAAAACTCATAGTAATCTGTGATATACACTGTCATAGAAACTCACAGTAATCTGTGATATACACGGTCAGTAAAACTCACAGAAATCTGTGATATACACTGGCAGCAAAACTCGCAGCAATCTGTGATATACACTGGCAGCAAAACTCACAGCAAGCTGTGATATACACTGTCATTGAAACTCAGTGTTGATATAAACTGGGAGTGAAATCAAAGGGAGAGCAAACTGAATAGGTATGTCCAGGAACCCCCATGAAACCACTACAATTTAAAAGAAAATATCCCCAAAGAAAACCAGGGGAAGCAAAGAAGAGCCAAAAGGCACAGTAATCTTAAAAAACTAAGCATAATTAATATAAATCAATCCAAAGCCACCAACTAGAAGCAGGAGGCAGTGATACTCTGACCTGTACTGACTGAGGAGCAGCAAGGAAATGATGCATGGGGAGGGGAGTTTTACAGTACCTAACTTTTTTTCTGACTGGTTTTTTTTCTGTGCTGCTGTGAAGTTCTAGTAAAGAGAGACTTAAAGCGGCACTGTCATGCCGAATCCCGTTTTTTTTTTTAACCCCCCTCCCGCCTCCACTACATACAATTGACCCACTAGTCACCCCCAAATGCCCCTAAACCCCCCACATTACCTATTTTTTAATCCTTATTTTCTGCCCCGATCTTGATTCAGGGCGCCGCCATCTTTGTGTGGGTAGATGAAGTCCCTGTGGGACACGTCATCAGCCCTCACTAGACAGACTGTGAGATTCCCGCACATGCCCAGTGAAACACCTGGACATGCGAACTGGAATTTCAGCTATTCATTCATTCATCAGACAGACGAATGAGTGAATAGAAATATCAGCCGAACAAACAAACACAATGTATCAGTGTATCTGAGTATCCGTGTTTGTTTGTTCGTGCAGTTTATTACAAGGAGGGAGCTACCGGCACGCAGCTCTCTCCTTGTAATATGTAAAGATAGAAGCGGCAGGGAGCAGTGCTCCCCGCCACTTCATAAGCCCCCCCAGGTTCCCCCTCTCACTCTATGGGAGTCAATATGACCCCCATAATAGCACAAGGGAAATTAAAATCTCCCAAATGCCCCTACTCACTATACCGCGAGTAGCTGCTCACTGTTGAAAAAAAATGACATAAATTACAATAAGGGGGGGCGGACCTATTGTCCTCCCCCCCTCCCCCACCCTGAGCGGCGGGTGGGGGCCATAAAGATAATGAGGGGGGACCTACTGTCCTCCCCCCCGCCCCCACCCCTGAGCGGTGGGTGGGTGCCCTAATAAAACAATAAGGGGGGGGACCTACTGTCCTCCCCCCCTGGCCCTCATACATGAGCGGCGGGTGGGGGCCATGAAGATAATGAGGGGGGGGACCTACTGTCCTCCCCCCTGGCCACCACCCCGGAGCGGTGGGTGGGAGCCCTTATAAAACAATAAGGTGGGGGGACCTACTTCCTCCCCCCCTGGCCCTCACCCCTGCGCGGTGGGTGGGGGCCCTAATAAAACAATAAGGGGGGGACCTACTGTCCTCACCCCCTGGCCCCCACCCCTGAGCGGTGGGTGGGTGGGGGCCCTTATAAAACAATAAGGGGGGGACCTACTGTCCTCCCCCCGGCCCCCACCCCTGCGCGGTGGGTGGGGGCCCCAGTAAAACAATAAGGGGGGACCTACTGTCCTCCCCCCGGCCCCCACCCCTGCGCGGTGGGTGGGGGCCCCAGTAAAACAATAAGGGGGGGGACCTACTGTCCTCCCCCCCTGGCCCCCACCCATGTGCGGTGGGTGGGGGCCCTAATAAAACAATAAGGGGGGGGACCTACTGTCCTCCCCCCCTGGCCCCCACCCCTGAGCTGTGGGTGGGGGCCCCAGTAAAACAATAAGGAGGGGGGACCTACTGTCCTCCCCCACTGGGCCCCACCCCTGAGCGGTGGGTGGGGGCCCTAATAAAACAATAAGGGGGGGGACCTACTGTCCTCCCCCCCCCGGCCCCCACCCCTGAGCGGTGGGTGGGGGCCCTAAATGAAACACCCCCCAATCAAGGTGACTAGGGGTCCCAAGCCCCTAGTCACCCCCCCACCCAAAAAAACCTATCCCCTACCTACCCCCCTCACCCTACAAATAGTGAGGGGGGGAATAAAATAACTAACCTGTAAAAAAAAAAATTAAACTTACCATTTGACGTCTTCTTTTTTCTAAAATCTTCTTTCTTCAGCCCCCAAAAAGGCCAAATAAAAATCCATTATACCCGTCGCACTTTTAAAAAAAAAAAACGAGCGCAAAAAAAAATTAATCCATGTTCGCCCTTCGAGGGCACGCCGCATACTGAGCTCCGCAGGGCGGGTCAAGGCTTATAAAGCCTTGCCCCGCCCTGCAATTAGGCTTAGAACACTCTGATTGGTGAGTTTAAGCCAATCAGAGTGTTATGAGTCATTTTACACAGCGTGGGAAAATTCTAAAGAACTTTCCCATGCTGTGTAAAATGACACAGAGCACTCTGATTGGGTGGCTTTCAATTTAGGTCTTTCAGCCTTTTAGTAGATAGCTCCCTGATACCGTGGGAATTAGGGAGTTATCTACTAAGCGGCTGCAAGATGCAGCCACAGCAAGAATAGGATCGGAGTTTCATTCATTAGAATGAAATTCCGATCCGAATAAAGTGCCGAATTGCGTTCTAAAAGAAACGAACATACTGTTCTCATTCAGTTAGAACTCAATTCGGCAGTTTCGTGTAAAGTGACAGGAAGCATTGTGGGAACACAGAGGAAAGCTAGGGATCAAGCGGAGGAATCCTCCATAAGGCAAAGAGTCCCTACTTTGTCTTATGATTTTAAAGAAAACTAAAGAAGATAGGAAGAAAAGAAAAACAGATCCTGAGAGAGGGGAGAAGAGGAAGAGATTGAGGAAAGGTAAGTTCGGCATGACAGTGCCGCTTTAAGCAAATACAAAGCCTCCTGTCATGTTATAAAATTAAAAACAGTATATATAAAATTAAAAATGTTTTTTTCTACATGCCAAACTTTTTTTGCAGGGTTAAAAAAACTTTTTTCTAGCCCCACAAATCTCTTTCTTGTTTATTATATCTAATATAGCTTGATGTGAAATACTGTTTTAAATTTCAATCACCCCTGTATCTGGTGGACCACCAAAATTTCTCTTATTTGGGGAAAAGGATTCCCTTTTCCCCAAATAAAACAGCTCTAATAATCCTGAAGTAAAATATCGCCAGTATCGCACATTCCTCCACACATGAGCTGAGGCTTAATGCTGGGTGTAGAACTGTTTAATAGAAGCACAGTTACAGAATTTATACATGTGACAAACTCTTCTGTGCCTGAGAGATAATTGAGTCAGGAACTGTACAAACTCAATTACCTCCAGGTAGAAAAAAAAATTTTTTTTTAATACCCTAAAAGTACCCCCAAAATCCATGGAAACCCCACTCAAGTCACATCCCCAGATAGTCCTGATCTGAGTGACCATCATATCCAAACATCACTTTAAATAGGTTCGGTAGTTTTGAATCGCCATCGCGAGTTTTGACCGGCCTGCCATGAGGTTGAATCCTTTAAATAGTTCCAGGGAAATGGTGGCAAGGGCCGGTCTCCATTTGTTTTGTTTTTTGTATGAAAATCACATTGTTTATACAAAATCTGTTAAGTGTAGAATGCTCCCCTTATTCAGTAGTTCATATCTCTGGAAGGCTATTCATATTGCTGGTCGGGAACTTGAACGGGCAGCAGGTCTATTTTCACCGGCGTTCGCGTGGGTGCCTGGCCGAAATCAGTTCCAGGCACTCAATGACTAAGTCTTGCTGCCTGCGTTCAGAGACAAAATGTCCGTCATCCATAGTGTTGACCACGTGCGTTCGGTTGCACGAAAGGGCGGCTACCCTGTGGAGCATTCTATTGTTTCCTTTGCGGTTTTCCTACTGGATACTTAATGTTCACATTCTAATGAGGTTCTGGGGTGGTCCTGGTACCAAACCAGGTGGGTACGAACATCCATAAACGAAATGTGCTAAACCAAGTGATGGGGCATTTCTTCACACTATATATTATGTGTGGTCGTTCACCTATCATATCTTTTATCAAAGGGTCTGTTTTTAAAATATACCAGTATTTATTTATAATGTGTTTTACTTGCTTCGCATTTTTATTAGTATCTAAAATTAAAGGCATCTGATTAAACATTTTCTTATTTATGCCAGTTCCTATTTTTTGTAACATTCACTAGGGGACCCTAACTTGCAGACAGGAGTAGAGAAAATTGCAATACTGATCCTTAGAATGGTCGGGTTATGCAAAAAGGATAGTCAAAACACTAGCCAAGGTCAAGGGAAGTAGAGAGACGGAATAACGAGAGACAAAGCCAAATATCAGTAACCAGGAAATTAAAAAAAACAAGTGCAATGCTCAATGGTAAACCAAAGACCACAACAGGGCACTGAGGCAAGGGAGGGGTTAGCTTATATACACACAGGGTGTGTCTGATTGGCTAACCTTCAATTAATGTTAACCACAACACATGGGAGGAGTTTCTTGTGGCCTCCCTTGTGGTCTCTGAGGTCATCACTGTGTGCTGGGTCACATAACCGGGTGCAGCACACATATAAGGAAGCTACTCTGGAGCATGCAGCGTCAGACACACTGCCAGTCTGGAGGCAGGGACCACATGACGCCGCTCGCTCTGATGAGGTAAGCAAGGTCGCCGTGAGCGGCGCAGGGGCAGGAGACCTGACATCTATCCCTTTAAAATCTTCAATGCATTTCTCTATTTTGTGCATGTCATACTTTTTCTCTTTTCTCTTTTTTGCATGTCATACTTTTTCTCTTTCTCGTCAACTGTCCCTTTGGGATATTTTGTAGCATTTTATGTTTTGAACTGTAATTTTTACTTAGAGTGGCGGGGAACACTTCTTTATACCAGTTCTTATTCATTTAACATCTAGACTATAGAAGTGCCTGACACACTTTTATTCTTCTGTTTTATGTAAAGGCTGATTAAGTGCCCTGAATAACTGCTTTGTGGGCAGCCCACAGTGACATTGAGGAGGTCTCCGGGGTAATTCAAAGTAATCAGTGAGGGCTTTGGCTATCACGACAGTCACATATTTATCATGTAATAGTAGTGGGATCAGTCTCCACGTCCATGGTCATTTAAGGTGGGGGATAGTCGTGGTGAGTGATATATTGGCGTGGTCCAACCATGAGATTGCTTCAATGTCTGTTTTAGCAATTTGTGGTAGTAAACTTGGCGAAATCAAGAAGTAGTCTATGTGGGTGGGAGTGGAACGTGAAGGAGGGGTGTTG